ATTATTATTATTATTATTATATTGTTGTATTTATTATAAGTGGTTTGCCGGATGGTGTGTAACAAATCTATTGGTTTTAGTTAGAATTTTGAAGTAGAGGGTGCGTAAACTAATGTTGTAAAATATGTGTTTCTCACAGTATAGCAAACCATGATGTTAAAGTTGCTTTATCAATGCATCAATTAGCTTACATAAACATTGTGATAATAGTTTCATCGCATCTCGTATACTCAGATTCATGTATCATTAGCATCCGTCCATCCATCCAACTATACCGAACCAATTTAAAAGGTTTTACCTTGATTGTTCTCATCTATGGTGTAGAAATAAAAGGTCTATCTATGGTCTAGAAAGACATCTGTCCTAAAGTGGATTCCACTTGTCAGAAACAAATATCTATATTACGCTTGACTTCAGCATTGAGACTGGCATCGTTAATCCGCATAATTATGTCACAACTTTTGCCGTTGTTGCTTCTGATATCTGCTGATGAGTGCTTCTTGTATTTGTTAAAAAGAATGGTAACGAAGATGCTGCGATGTATTCGCTCTATCATCTTGCCTGAACCGTGGTAATGGCCAGTTTCCTCAATTGACAGTGTTGTCCAGTTGAACGAGGAAGACGTGAGAGAAGCACTGCTTAGCTACATCGCTCAGAATTGCTGCTACGGCAAGGGCACCGCACGAGAAATGAGGATCAATGAAATCAAGCTCACCAGTGGCTTGCATGTGGGTGCATCTCATTTCCTCCGCCCAACGGAGTTGGAGGGGAGGTTATGTGATCGGTCTCGTGCGGTCGTGTGTTGGTGTGTTAGCGTGTGTGTGTGTGTTCGCGCGATTGATATTAGCGCGTCGAGTCAGCAGCAGGCCAGTCAGTCAGCAGCAGCCAGCAGCGAGCCAGCTCGTGACACATACATGTTACATGCTGGCGGAGGTATGCACTCTCCGTGAGTGCCCTCTGTCTAGTTTCTGTAGCGACTGCAACGTTGACGTAATTTGAGAAATTGAGACTCGTTTTACTTTCGTGCTCAAACTGAAAGGTATACGTGGAGAGAATGACGGTGAAATCGTCTTCGTGTGTGTAACAATACTCGTTTATTTGCTCTCTAGTATGTGTTGGAGTCGTATTGCGAGAAGAGATTGTCCAGCTGGCACCAGGATGCCTACACAGGTTGGATAGCGCTATAGTATAGTATAGTACACAGTATATCGTAAGTTTACATTAAGCGGCTTCCGATTTAAGTCATTTGCCAGACTGATGATGTAGGAAACGTATGTGTCTACTTAAAGTGATTACGTCACGAATTTCTATGGTAAAATGTGTAACATTTTTGTTGTCATTTTTTTACATTAAAAGTAAGAACTAACAGGACTAAACATATCGTCAAATTCTTACCTGATAAGATTGTTTCTCAGCTAGTTAAAAATCCAAAAAACCTGGACGATTTGATATTAGTGTTCCTAACATTAATCGCTTGCTATGGGCTATGTATGCGTCACGAGTGTATGTTCACATCGAACAATATAGTAAAATAAGAAGTATAATGCAGCAATTTAACCATAAAAAGTGAACAGAATTACTTGTATTTTGTAAAAAAGTGGAAATATTATTTTAATTTTTTACTGTTTACGGTGACGTGTTCACTTTAATAAGTTAATTATAATAATAATTAATTTATCTTACCATAGTGCTGTGTCACGCTATCGGCTTTACGTTTACAGGTCAGCTCATCGATGGACCGCATAACGGACATCCCCCATCTGTTTGGCAAGTTCCGTGCACGGCTTCGAATCTTTTTGCAAACGAGTCGAAGTATGTTGAGGTGCCTCACACTTGCACAGTAATGGTAAGTGTCGCGCATGTTTTCGCTCTTCTAAGAACAATTATTGCCATACTGCGACAATCTGTTTGTTGCTAATGTTTAAAATTGCCTATTATTTTGGGGTTTCAAAGGGCTGGAAGTGTGTTTTGTGTCTTCTATCACCGCGTGGTGCTGTTGACTTTACAATGACACGAATTTTATTTAAAATAATACACTTACTTATTCCTGACAGATATTATTTCGCCTCTCTTTTTCACAACAGTTTTGAGTGCCAGTTGCTCATACTCAGACCATTCTGAAAGTTCATATCTCCTCTAACTCCATGTTAGTGCTGGTTAATATCCTATAATTGGATCAACAATATATATATATATCTATATAAAGGAATACTATAATTGTATATTTATGAGCACAATTCAACGCACACTCGTATAAAATGTCACATGTTCTCAATAAGTAAATACCCATTTCGTTTATTTCACTTGCACCATTGGACAGGTTAGTCAACAAAAATGCCCCTATCGTCTCGAACGCAAAACAAACGGTATATTGCCCAGTCGAATCATTTGTGTTTGTGTTTCGTAGGCGTGCCAAGTGTGTCACAGGTCAATAATGCATTTATCATCTCCGGCGCAAAACAAACCGCATATTCCCTGGTCGAATAACTCGTGTTCGTTTCACGTAGCTGTGCCAAGTGTGTGACTCGTCAAAATTCCCTTATCTTCTCGGACGCAAAACAAACCGCATATTCCCCGGTCGAATAACCCGTGTTCGTTTTCACGTAGCCGTGCCACCTGTGTCACGCGAGTGGCTACAACCCATGTCATCAGTGCATGGGTCGCGGCTGGCGACGGTGCTCCTCCTGTAGGGGATCCGGACGTGGCATGCACTCTACCAACAGCAGCGGAAGCAGTCACTGCATCAGTTGCCATGGCCACGGGATGAAGAAGTAATTATTTTATTTTATTTTTAATTTTTACCTCATCTGACATAGTCAGATGCAGCTTGTAGAATCGCATGAGCGTCCGTCCGGCCGTGCGTTCGTCTGTGCGTCCGTCAACAGTTGGGCACAAATC